TTCTTAAGGAGCCTCCACTTTCCATGCATTGGTTCCAACATGGACCAAGACAGCTGGGCCATGCCCAGCCCCTCCCAGTAATTTATCAACCCGGTCCACCACATGCCGAACCCTGGCACCAGAAAACCATTCGGGTGAGGTGATCCTGGTGACAAATTATTCTATCGGTCCTTTTGATTATAGAATCCCCTACTACCACCAGTTGTCCATTTATGTGAAACCTTTATCTCAAAAACAACAAAACTGTTGCTGTAGCTTCTTGAGCTCTGGAAGGTTTTACCACCTTCATGACCAGACCATTTTTGCTATTTTGCACTGTGCTACTTTAACTGGTAATTGCGCAGTTATTCAATGCTGTACCCAAATTAAACTTATATAATTTTTTTCTCACAAATAGAGCTTTCTTTTGGTGGTATTTGATCACCACTGGGTTTTTAATTTTTTATTATAGAAACGAAAAACATGATAATAGAAAAAAAATACAATATCGGTTTACTTTCTGCTATAAAACTAATCCAAATAAAAAAAATTAAAAAGTCTAATTTCTTCATAAATTTAGGCCAAAAGGTATTCTGCTCAATGTCTTTTGTACAAAAAAATCCCTATAAATGTATATTGATTGGTTTGTATGAACGTTGTAGCGTCTACAAACTATAGTGTATATATATATATATATATATATATATATATATATATATATACTGGAATTTTTATTTATTTTTATACTTGTAATGGCACCGATCAGTGACTTCTAATGGGACTGTGTTAGTGCGGCTAAAACCTGCTGACAAAATCCCTCTGTGTCCAATTATTAACTATTTTTAAACCTTATGCTGCTAGCATTAGTAAATAGAGAGGAAGGTATATTGTATTTACTTGTTTTAAACTTTTTTTTTCACCTTTCTTCAGTTACTTCCTGGTTTCCAGGCCTATGTATATGATGCCATACATCCCAGGAGTCCTCAGGAGGGGAAGAGGGGCTATCTCAGCTAAGCACACTTTTCTGCCTGCAAGTCTGAGCTAAGGGAAATGGATTTCATTAAGTACCGTATTTTTCGCTCCATAAGATGCACTTTTTTTTTCTCCCTAAAAAAGGGGGGAAAATGTCAGTGCGTCTTATGGAGCGAATATAAAGCGGCCGGTCCGGTATTTCTGCCGCCACCATGTCAGAATACCGGGCCGGCCGCTCAGCTGTTCTCTCCTGCAGGGCCTTACCTGTTCCTCGCTCCAGCGCTGCAGTCTTCCCGCGCTGGCTTCTGTGACAGCTGGGTGCCCACTGCGCATGTGCTGCGCTTTGTGGATGAGTGTCTTCTGGGACACATGACAGGTCCCAGAAGGCGCCGGGCCATTCACAAAGCGCAGCGCTTCTCGCGCATGCGCAGTGGGCACCCGGCTGTCACAGAAGCCGGTCCAGGAAGAAGAGGGAAGGACAACTCCGCAGAAGTGGGAGCGGGTACCTGTCAAATTCAGGTACCCACTCCCCCTCCCTCCCCAAAGGTCAGCAGTCTCTGGTCATTCCCTGCACTGTCTGCAGTCTCTGGTCATTCCCTGCACTGTCAGCAGTCTCTGGTCATCCCCTGCACTGTCTGCAGTCTCTGGTCATCCCCTGCACTGCAGCAGTCTCTGGTCATCCCCCTGCACTGTCAGCAGTCTCTGGTCATCCCCTGCACTGTCAGCAGTCTCTGGTCATCCCCTGCACTGTCAGCAGTCTCTGGTCATCCCCTGCACTGTCAGCAGTCTCTGGTCATCCCCTGCACTGTCAGCAGTCTCTGGTCATCCCCTGCACTGTCAGCAGTCTCTGGTCATCCCCTGCACTGTCAGTCTCTGTCATCCCCTGCACTGTCCGCAGTCTCTGGTCATCCCCTGCACTGTCACAGTCTCTGTCATCCCCTGCACTGTCTGCAGTCTCTGGTCATCCCCTGCACTGTCTGCAGTCTCTCTGGTCATCCCTGCACTGTCTGCAGTCTCTGGTCATCCCCTGCACTGTCTGCAGTCTCTGGTCATCCCCTGCACTGTCTGCAGTCTCTGGTCATTCCCTGCACTGTCCGCAGTCTCTGGTCATTCCCCCTGCACTGTCCGCAGTCTCTGGTCATCCCTGCACTGTCCGCAGTCTCTGGTCATTCCCTGCACTGTCTGCAGTCTCTGGTCATTCCCTGCACTGTCCGCAGTCTCTGGTCATTCCCTGCACTGTCTGCAGTCTCTGGTCATTCCCTGCACTGTCCGCAGTCTCTGGTCATTCCCTGCACTGTGTCCGCAGTCTCTGGTCATTCCCTGCACTGTCCGCAGTCTCTGGTCATCTGTACTATGTCCGCATTCCTGCATTCTCCTGTACTGTCCGCAGTCTCTGGTCATTCCCTGCACTGTGTCCGCAGTCTCTGGTCATCTGTACTGTGTCCGCAGTCTCTGGCCATCTCCTGTACTGTGTCCGCAGTCTCTGGCCATCCCCTGTACTGTGTCCGCAGTCTCTGGCCATCCCCTGTACTGTGTCCGCAGTCTCTGGTCATCTCCTGTACTGTGTCCGCAGTCTCTGGTCATCCCCTGTACTGTGTCTGCAGTCCATTGGTTCAGAATATTTTTTTTTCTTGTTTTTCGCCTCTAAAACCTAGGTGCGTCTTATGGTCAGGTGCGTCTTATGAAGCGAAAAATACGGTAAATGCTACATGAATCATCTGCCCTTACCCAAGACCTCCATGGCCAGAAATTATTTGTGTGTGTGTTTTTCAAAGTGATTTCTCAACAAAATACAGCATGGAGCGCCATGCATGGATGGAGGAGTTTGCGGTGAATGTTAAAAATGATTTAAAAAGGTTTTTTGGTTTGTGAATGCAGTATAGGTCCACTTTAAAAAGCTGGTGTATGGCTTCAATTTGCTAGTGTAACCAAATCTGCAACTACATCTAACACTACCATTCCCCCAGACTGGCAATGCTGCTGCACAAAAGGTGTCTGTGTTGCTCCTTCATCAAGTGTGTAGGTACTATAATACAGGAGGTATGTTACTGACCAGGTAAAAAAAAAGGAAAAAAGCCTAATAAAAAAAAAGAAAACTAATGCAGCCATCACATCTCATGATTAGTAAGCTGCAATATTTTTGGTTTTGGATTTAATAACACTTCAAAACAAAAAAAGGATTTTTAAAAGAATTATTTCCTTAGCCACTTCAATACAGGGCAATTTTACCCCCTTCCTACCCAGGCCAATTTTCAGCTTTCAGCACTCTCACTGTTTGAATGAAAATTCATGCAACACTGTACCCAAACTAAATTTTCATCATTTTATTCACACAACTAGAGCATTTTGGTGGTATTTAATCACTACTGGGTTTTTTATTTTTTTGTTAAATCAATAAAAAAAGACTGAAAATTAAAAAAAAAAAAAGAACAAGTTTTTCTTTGTTTATGTTATAAAATTTTTGCAAATAATTGTTCTTCATAAATATAGGCCAAAATGTATACTGCTACACTTCTTTGGTGAAAATAACGCAAATTAGTGTATATTATTACGTCTGTATAGTCCACAAACTATGGTATATATCAGAAAATCGATCAATCCTGCTGCTCTGATAGCCTATCACATTTCCTGAGGCCCAAAAATGTCAGGACAGTACAGACATCTTGCAAATGACCCCTTTTTGGAAAGTAGACAGTCTGTGGTATTTAGTAAAAGGCATGGCGAGTTTTTTGAAGTTTTAATTTTTTGTCACCAGTGCAGTACCGTGTTATCATATATCTGTGTGACTTGTGACAGAATGGGAAAAAAAAAATCTATATATATATATATATATATATATATATATATATATATATTTTTTTTTATAAAACACTGTGACCATAATAATATAATGATACCATGATATCATTGTACTACTCAAGCATTTAACTGAATGAAATAGATTTGTTCAGTGTTTTTTGTTGTGATTGGCCACAGCTAATCAGATGACACAGATGGGCTGTGACTAGCCCTGTACCATGTGATCGCTGTGACCAATCACAGCTAGCAACACAATTGTAATACAGATCGGTCATCAAATGTGTCCGATGGACAGATCTTGCTGGAGTGTGGACCCACGGGCACGAGGTGGCGATCCAGGAGGTTGTTATATGACGCCCACCCTGATCGACGAAAGTCCCGCCCAGCCATCATTTTGCTATTGGCCAGGCGGGAACTGGTTAAAATGACACTGCTAAAAAATGTAGAATAGAAAAAAAAAGATCTGTATGTAAAGATGAACTACTATACTTACCTGTTTATCTGCTTATACTGCCAGTACTCACTCCCCTGTAGAGAAACAGTGCCCAGGGGATCCTTTAATTTGACACACTTTTTTTTTTTCTTTTTACCACCAGCTCCTATGTCACTGCAGGATATAGTAGTAACATACCCAGTGCTTCCTTGTATGGAAGACATGTGACCTACTCCCACAATGCAATGCTCACACCTGAGCACACTATTGCCCGGACCAAATATTGTCAACTGATGGAGATAGTGTCATTAACATGTAGCTCACACAGGGTTTGTCTCCTAGAGAAATAAAGTGATAGGGAAGTGCACGGAAGGTCAGTTTAAGTGGGTCAGTAGTGCGGTTAGTAAGAGACTGCCACTTTACCCTGAAATTTCAGCACTTCTTGACAGTGCTGACACTTTTGTGCTTGCCCACCTCTCCCTATCTCCTGCACATTCTTATTGGCCAGTAAGCCAGCCCATCAGTGTTAAAATAATAGGTAGCATGTAAACTTCAATAGTACCCAACCAGTCAGGGAATAGCTCACCAGAACAACCTGGTAACAAAGTAAAGCAGGAAGTACTGCACTATCTTGGGTGCCTGCACTTTATACCTATTGGCAGCCTTTGGTTTTCTTATAGCGACAATCTCACATTCATACACCATTCTGCTTCTTTTAATTAGAATTGATATATATGATAGAATCTAAGTGTCTTTGGATGTACATTTCTGCTAGGCAAGTAAAGAAATAGCAAAAATAAATAATCTGCATACTTACTTCCACATCTGTGAATTCAAGTGTTTTTCCACCATGGAATTTAACGCAAACCGAAATCGATCCCACCTTCTATCAAACACATAGTACCCTCGTCCCATTAAGCGGCTCCCAAATGAGCAGAACTACAAACAAAATTGCAACACGAAGAATTGTTATGCCTGATGTGTCATCTACAAGATAATGTTGTTAAATAAAATCCATTATATATATAAGTTAACTATGTCCAACTACTGCTAAACATTTTTAAGGTAAGTTTTAGACAATATTATTATACTATGGACATGAACCACATAACTGGATGAGTGAATCAAAATTAACAATCCATCTTGTTCAAAGGCAAATTTGATTTAATAGTTTAAAAAAAAAAAAAAAAAAAACTTCATGCTACACTATTTTTGCATAATCCATCAGCCAAACTTTGAAATTGTCAGACAAAGCGTTAGAATCTTTTTTTATTACATAAATAAATCTGTTCCTGAAAGGGTAACTTCAGGTTCACAAGATCTATATTTCTGTTCTGGATCTGCTTAATTTAAGCGTTGATACACTTTGGAGCTATATTGCCGCCATTTTCTCAGAATGCGCTATATTTGTATATTGAGCCATTAAACAGGAACTATGCTTCAAAAAATTCAGCATATGAATAGGTATGCATACCGGTTATACAAAGAGTACACAATAGAAGTTTGTACCATGCATCATATTAGCAAAATGTTTATAAGAATAAAATCAAATTTTTTCATTTGCAATTCCAAATAACAGTCTAATCAATTACACCTTATACAAAAATATTTACATATCACATGTGAAAAAAAAAATAAAGGAGGTAATATAGTCCTAATGGACAAAACTTATTATGAGAAAGAGGTCAAACATCAACTAAATGACTAGACTACATATTTACTTTTAGATCATAATCCATTTCCAGGTCTAATTCAGACACTAAATAAAAAACTTGAATTGGCAAAAGGGAGAAGGACTTTTAACCAAACGTGAGTTTGAATACCTCCAAATCAATGAGTTCAATGTACCCACCTTCTATAAAATCCCCAAAATTCCTAAAAATCTTCAAAACCCACCCGGAAGAATTTTTGTCTCCGCGGTGAAGGGCCCAATGGAAAGAATAGGTGGTTACTTGGACTCTATGTTTAAGGACATGGTAAACAAACTTAAATCATATGTCCAAGATACCTGTGACGTATTAGCTAAAATAGATTAACTTAAAATACAGGAGGACTGTTGGCTAGTGGGGGTGGACGTTGAATCTCTATATACTTCAATTCCCCACTACTGGGATTTGAGAGCAGTAGAGACATTCTTGACCCTTGATTACCCTGAATGTGGACCACAAATGAATTTATAGTTGAATTATTAACATTTACATTGAAAAATAACTTCTTCTCCTTCCTTAATAAACATTATCAACAGATAAGAGGTACCTCTATGGGGCAATCCTGGGCATCGGCTTATGCCTGCCTCCACTTAAGTCAATGGGAGGAAGAAGAGGTGTACACATACCCGATATACCGGAGCCACGTAAAAACGTGGCTAAGATACATCGATGATGTGTTAATGATTTGGAAGGGAGACATATCAGAACTAAAAGACTATGTCATATTTGAATGAAAATGAAAGGCATATTGATCTAACCTATACATTTGATCAAATTCAAATTTAATTTTTGGATCAGAGCATTTGCGTGAAAGAAGGAGCATTATCGACTAAGACTTATAGAACCTTATAATTACCAGCAAGACGTGGAGATTTTGATCGTATATTACTAAAAAAGGAAAAAAACTGGATATACAAATTACAGACCTTATTCCCACTAAAGTTAAATGTAGAAATGAACCTCCAAGTTTTCTTGGAGGCTTAATTCGATTTAACTGTACCAAGTTTTTAATGATTTTTCATCATTGAATATATATTTATTATTCTTTAGTTACAGCATATGAAGTGACCCTTTGTGGGTAAAAGGAGGCTTTTTGTTGATCATTATTAAGATCTCTGAGAATAAATTGAATTGAAGAAGTTTTTTTTTTTAGTGATTTGTAGTTATCTAGTTCCATGTCACTTTATAGTAATTGGATTCTTCTGTGTTACAGAAGCCATCAACTTGTTCTATTTATAATCACTATACATGATAAGTATATTACCTTTTATAATTTGAAAAAACAAATATTTAAGCAATATCAGTTACTGTAGCAAAGGTAAACACTTGACTTTGTCCCTTTAAGAAGAGAAAGCAGGGCAAAGTTAAAGTGATGACTATGGACGTTTAAGTGATCACCAATGCTGTCTGACGTCCAGATGAAGCTATGCTACTTCCTAGCAAAAAGCGTTGACATCATACATCATGTGACTCCGTGCTTACTAAGGGGATACTCCATGTTGGATAGTGGTGGCCTCCCAACACATCGAAGGACTACGGGACATGCTACACGTGCTACGGACGTGGAACAGAGGCTATCATATACCCCAGATACCCATACAATTGGAATTATTTACCTTTTTATTTACAGTTACATGTGGCATCAGCCACGACATATCCCTTTGTATGGTTATATTTAGGCGTCCGGACGCAATCGTTTTGATTATCTGTTTATGTTTTGTCTTGTCTGTTTGCCTGCATTATATGTATGTCTATATATGTTTTAAGCTAGCCAATGATTGGCACTTACACTTATTTTTGATTAAGGATTTATACTCAAACTAATAATATGCTATACCAGTCCTTACATTTTGTCTTCAAAAGTAACAACTTTACCCTTCTATGGGGATTTGTTTTTGAGATAGGCTTTATGGGTTACGAAGACAGCACCTAACTTTGGTGAAGGTATACTGGGTTTACAAGCTTTAATTACCCTCTTACTGAGCTTTTGTTATGGGCCACTAATCCTGTCCAGCAAATTCTGCAATAGTGTCTTAAGACAGAATGTTCACTCACTATCCTAATTTGAGTTCTGAGTAGTAATATGCTGCATTCACAGGTGCACACTTCTCCATAAGTCATCATTCGAATGACAGTAGGAGGTGTAACTTGCTCTCTTCCCTGCTTTTTGCATTACAGATCACATTCATTACTTCCATGTCAGGTTTGGATTTCAGACTGGTGGAAGTGAGAAACTTCTTACTACTATTTTTTTTTCACATTAGGCCTTTTGTATGTGAAAATCAGCAAGCAAGGTGTTTCAGAATTACCAGCAGATATATTCCAGAATAACAAAATTATTAATAAAAGGGATCGTGTTAAACTGGCCATACATGTGGATCGAAATTTGGCCAGTTCAGCGGAACCATCCAAATTTTGATCCATGTGTAGCCCTCACTATTCAACAGAAGCCAGTTGTTAAACCTGCTTCTGTCTAACAGTCATGAGTGAAAACCAGTATTCGATCAGAGTATGCAGCCAATGGGCGGCAGCGCTGAAAACTGTATTCTGATGATGGGGAAGTCCTGGAAAGGATTTCCCCATCCATGAATTCTGGTTCCGTTTTTTTTTTTTTTTGTTCAGTTAGCTGGCTCAATGAAAAAACTGAGCCATTAAAAGTGGTGAAGATATTTGAGCAAATGTGCACATATCAAAAAGATATTCTGCTTATGTTTTTTTAAGCTGTCCCCAACGTTCTACTATCAAATGCTGAAGGCATGCTGAAGTGGGCAATAGAGGCTCTGGCTTTTGACTGTAGAAAGACAAGTGATAGTGCGCTTAGCATCAAGAGTTGTGTGTTAATCTTGCTTTGAAGAGGTTCATTTTTAAATCCAAGTATGATGCCTGACTTAGAATATTCTCTTAGGTTATAACTTTGCACCAATTTCATAATTTCAGTCATTTATGGTTCCCCTACATATTATCCTATTATATAGGACAAATCTGGACTATACATGTAAAATAAAAACAGATGCATACCGCAAGAGGCTTAGGATGATGCCCAGAGTAGTAACAGTCTAGTTTTTCTGTATCTTCTGCACCTTCAGCTTCACCTTCATCACTAGAGAGCCGACTAGCCAGATCCCCTGTCACAGAATTTACAGCAGGCTCAGGCACAAACCCACTATGGTTTGAAGAACTTGTGCTGTTGAGGCTATTTGCAGAAGATGGTCTAGAAATATTGAAAATTCATAATTACATTTGTAATTCACACATATGGTATTTCACATCCAAAAATAGGTCCCCAAAACACTGTTCACTCCATGCCATTGTTAAGGCAATCTTCTCTTGTCTGTAGAAAGCCATAATAGTGCACAATGAAAACCTGTGGCTTTGTGTAATGCAGGCTTGTTCCACCTGCTGGCTGGTATACAATTTTGGGCAATTTTTAGACATTTTGCCAAGGAACCCCTGAAGAAATCCCCTAAAGGCACCCTGGATGAAAAAGGCTGGTATAAGCAATCGATGCGGTTTGCAAATTTTCTTCTCTCACAGCCCGTATGGGCAGCAATTTAAACTTGTCAGATGTAAATAATAGAGGTAATCCCAGGAGGTGTACCTTCACTTTTTACAAAGGAGCTGAAGTCCTGGAATTCAGCTTGAAGACAATTTCTGGGATCAGGGAATAAACATGTCTCATTCTCGTCCCTCAGGTTTTCACTTCACAACAAACTCAGCTCTGTTCCAACTGTCTGTACGAGCTTCTGTCCCAGCTCTCCCCACACTAACATGATCAGGAGGAGAGTTACATGATCAGCTCTCATCTAATCAAGATGTTCTCTTCTCTACCATGCACTGTGGTGTGGTATGGTGTGTTGTGTGTTTAAACAAATTATATGTACCCTTTTGGCGAAAATGAATGGGCTGTCCAAATGCAACACGCGTTAATGAGCGATAGTTATCATGCGCTACCATAGCACATAGATGTGAACCTAATACTTTGCTAATATGTGTGCTGCAGCATATCACAATGCATGGTACCTTATTATAAAGCACACGCACCTTTTTTGGTGCAATTTCTGTGCATTCAAGTGGGCTGTCCTAACGCAATGTACATTAACGTCCGTGCCTTTTCGCAGCACATAGCTGTGAATCTAGATTTAAATACACCCCCCCTTCCCACACACACATAGAAATTACACACACAAATTATACATGTGCACTATACACGTTGTGGTAAAGCACAATCTGTGTATTAGTACACTAAAATAAAACACAGTAACAGCTCGTTTACACTAAGGGTGCATATTATTTAAAGCTTGATTTATTTTCTTTTCTAAAAAACTTTTTTAAAATTACATTCCTGGTGACATATTTCTGTGCATTGTAACATACTGCACTGTGATAAAATGCCTGGATCGTTCTCTCACACCACACACCAACACAGTGCGAACATGGAACGATGGATCAGGCATTACCACAAGGCACAGGTGTGAAGCCAAGTTCCAGATTTTTAGCCTACATTGATAAAATTAAAAAGTACAACAATCTGAAAATAAGCATTTTACAAATCGGCACAATTTTCAAATATTATTTATTAAGAGTAAATTTAGTCTAGGTTCACACTTATACATGTTAGTGCACATCATGGGTACAGCAGCCATTCATTAAATGGGCTGCTGTGCCCGGGAGACACATGGTGAAAGGTGATGAAATCCCTGACCCTTTTTTTAAAAAGTGCCACACAGAGGCACCATGTGGTTTTGTGCATGCGGAAAGGTGCTGCATTTTTCAAGGTGTGGGGTGCCATTAAGAATTGATGACACACCCACGCATCTGCTAAAGAGCAGAGCATTTTGCTAGTGGGTCGGGAATGCGTACACAGCCCAGCTCCTGGAGTGTGGCTGCAAGGGTGCCCCCATGCACATGCTTGCTATGGGTTCACCCGTGGGAAAAAAGAATGGAGAGGCTTTACAATCACTTTAATAATGATTTTAGTGTATGCTTGATTGACACACTAATGATTTGATAAATATTTGTGCAACCATCCATGGGACCTACAAAAACAGTGTCACCATCTTTATTTACCAGTTCTAAGGTTTCAGAAAAATGTATGGTCTGGAGTGTCTTTTAGAAACTGAAAACTAAGTGAGAAATGGAAAAAAAGTGAAAAACTACAAAAATGGTCTGGCCACCTGAGGCAAAAAGCAGAGAGCAGGGCCTGGCAGAGAAAGGGATAAAGTACAGTCAGCAGTGCTTACCTAGGTAGGACAGAGTTAGGAGGTCTGGCTTTTGCTGGGGATGTCACTTTGGGTTCAGGGGCGGAGTTGGCAGATGGCCCTGAAGACTGTTCTTGTGCTGGTGCAGACTGATTCTGGTGCGTTTCCCGGGCGTTTGGTGGATGTTCTTTGTCTTTAGTCACCTCTTTTTCCCTCGATCGAGCTTTATGTTCGGCTAATAAAACATCAAATGGTTTCTTACGACCTGGGACTGCTCGTCTGTGGTAAAGGGAATGTGTCTAATGGGCAAATATAAAGATGAGACATTTAAAAAGGATGCTCACACAGAAGGAAAAGTTAAAAACTCATATCTTTGTTACAAACACCTGCTGCAAATTTCTTTTGCTTCCAACAAAACCGTATGCTAAGTTGTCACTTTGGTCGATTAATCTATAGAATCGTTTGCAATTTCTTTTACTTCTTGTAGCAGGAATGTGCAATTCCTATTGCCCGACGCTTGGGACATGTATTTCCTGGCGCTGGAAAGGTAGTTTTTTTCTGTTTAATGTTTAGACTCACTTGTCACAGGTGGAAGCAATCCACTACAGTGCCAGACTCGCCTTCCCCCCAACACCCCGCGCAAGAACCTCCCACACATCCTCTCTTCTCCCCTTTTTTTTCCTGACCCCAAAGTTACAAGTATGAAGACAATTCTGGGTCCCCGTTGACAGATTTCCCACCCATCGAGGCTGGGAAGGAATTTAATGCCCTGCATTCCTAACAATGGAGTACAGGGGAGACATGCAGGGTGTTTTAGACCCTGCATGTCTCACTAAAGAGAACCTGTCACCAAAAATCATCACATAGGGGATGAAAAAAAAAAGTATAATTTTGTTTTTGAATTGTAAAAAATTAGTTACACCCAAGCACATACCCTCCGCCCCCCAACAAAAAAAAATGTAAGGTCCCCCCCACCCTCACTTATACACACATACAAACGTAAACACACACACCGGGACACCTACAGATGAAAATGTCAAATGTCGATTGTGAAACACATTACATATCGCCACGCATGCCAGAATGAGATAAAAAATTCTAGCACCAGACCTCCTCCTAAACACTAAACTGTAAGGGGCTTTAAAAGCATCACCTATAGAAAATATAGGGTACTAAAGTTTGTCACCATTTCACGAGCGCACTCAAATTTAAGGTTTGACATGTTGGTGATTTAATTACGCTTTGTGCCCTAAAATTTACCTAAGTGTTTTTTACTGTAATTTTGTGTTTCCTAGACCTTTGTGGTAATATCGTGTCACATAAAAAATTGGAGCTACCCCTATGTTATTCTTTAGGGTCTCTGCTTTCACAAAATATATAATATTTAGGGTTTTATGTAATCTTCAGGCCTAAAATTATTTTTAAACATGTACAAATAACGCAAAAAGGACTCTGGTAGCGAAAAAGGGATAAAAGGATAAGTTCACCTTCGGAAACATGTTACATGATCCACCTGTTTTTAGAGTGGAACATGTGACATGTTCCTGCTCCTGCAGTGGCTTGGTAATCCAAGCTCTCTGTGTGACAGCAGTATGGAGAGAAGTTCCACATACCAGCCCTCACTTTTTGAAAAGATCGTAGCTGTGCGGGGCTCTACCCACACAACCACATCATCCACTCACAGGGTTCTGTGAATGAATCAACTATGAGTACTGACATCCTTTGCAGATGTCGACTTGTAGTTCTCAATGAACTACAATGGCGCTGTTGAGTGCCCTGGTAGTTCATGGGTTCTTCCTTTCAGTTTGAAACTGCCTTCCCCTACAATGTACAAGCAGACAGTTTACACCGACAGTCTGCAGAAGTCCTACATGGCACTGGCGATTTGCTGATCACTGGTGCAATACTTTCCAAGCTCCTGCAAAAATATGTGCATTTTCTTTCTCTAAAAGGTGATCCTCTAATGGAGCGGACACCAAAGCTTGATTTGGCTGCTCAGCATGTGCTTGTACTGAGCACCCAAGTGCTTCCATGTGTGAGGGTAACCTAAAGGAATAAAGTTTTTTTTTTTTCATTTGGGCCGGCGCCTCATTTACTCGCTCAGCAGATGCACTTCTGTTGAGCATTAAGAAAGCTCGACCCTTCCCTTTCCTGATGAGCACCCAATTGGTGCTCATTACATTTCAAGGTCTCTCCCCTTCCTGCTAGTCCCCAGATGCGGTGCTGGAGACAGGCAGGGAGGGGAGTAGGAGATAAACAGTGCAATGTTAAAAATAATAAACGTTTAGGTCGCCATAAAGCTCCTTTCATTTTAAAAAACCCCAGGACAAGTAGATTGTCATAAGGAACAAAAAACTGGGACCCCGATTTAGTCTCTGGACAAGTAGTTTTTTTATAAAATGTGCACACCCTTGTTGTAGCATTTCGATTTGCTGCTTTTGTTAACTAATGAACATTAAAACACACACACAAATCAAACCACTCAGAACTAAATACTACAGGAAAGGGTTGTACCACGTTTACAATGGACGTTAGTTTCAAGGAAATATGCACTGTAAGAAACAAGTAGGCTATCAGTGCTGACCTCTTTCTAAAAATATTATTTGGCAGGCTACCTGCTTTCAATAGCTCATTGGAACAATCATGCAGCTAGTGAAGTCAGAGCTATAAAAAAACTGTATTGAAGCTTTGGGATCAGTATAACAGCTCGGATCTTCAGTGTGTTCCTGCCGCCCGCCTATAGTAGTTTGTTTATCTATCTGTCCCTACACCTGTTACCAGTGGCTGGGTTTGCCATCTTTTGTTTAGTTTGCTGGATATGGTGCAGCTTTCAGCTGCTATTATCCTCTGCTGGTTCTGTTGTGTCCCTATGCCTTTTAAGCAGCCCATGCATTGTCCAGCGGGTTAAAAAAAAAAAAAAAAAAAAAAGCCGATTCCCCCAGCCACACACTTGATGTGGATAGGGGAATCCCTCCTGCTGCAGTATTGTATTTCGGCGGCGGGAAGGCTTCCCGCCGGCAGAATACAATGATCAGTGTTGCTGGCTATAGTTGGTGACACTTATCATTTGTGAAATACCCAAGAGGTTACTGATTGACTTATGTACAACCAGCCTGTCCCTACATGGATGAACCGAGGGCCCACGTGGTTTGATATAAATTTAACAGTTTGATATTACATAGTTGTTTATAAATTTGAAGGAAATCATACAGACGATACACACTCAGACACGTAATGCATAAAGCCAGCTTAAACCCTAATTACTGATTACTGTTGACTGGCTGCCTCTTATTACTGAGGGCATCTCCAGATAAAATGTGTACAATTCACCAATGATAGGTTTGATGCAGACAATTTTACACCTGATGGGTCTGAAAGGTTTACAGTAAAAAAAAAAAAAAAAGCATTCAAATATTTGTTCCAAATCTACAAACTTCTTTAGGAAAAAAATAAACCATCAGTTATAGTCAACAACAATTTTAAAAAGGCATCCATCTACATTACACCTATATATCACTGACATAAAATTGATTTTCATGATATAACAATGCACCAATAACCACCTTGCAAGTTAGAGATCTCGTACATGGTTTCTTCGTCTCTGGATCTAATACTCCACAGTGCTTATTTGGGTCAAATTCTCTTTCTAGAAGACAGATACAGTTTAATTTACTTGCACAGTTAAATCACAAAAGTTGCTTGAATAATAAAACAGCAACAAATATGCATTACTTCAGCCAAAACCTTTTTTTAGCCTTGGCTAGACTGGGAACCTCTGCTGTGTTTTTATTTCCATCTGTGTCCCCAATGAAGTGATGCAATATGCCGGGTGTAATAGGACAGTTAGAGGGAAACTTCAGACAGAGAAGCAGACAGTTTCTTTTCAACTGATCGTGTTAAGTAAAATCACAGAAAAAAAAAATATAACAGAACGGCACTGACTGGTTGAGCATGGAAGAGCATATAAAGTTGTCCATGCACTGAATGGAAATTGTTATGGACATCTGTGTGGACACTATGGGGCTTACTAGAACCGGAGCATGCAAAATCTGAGAAACCCATCAGCGTCCAGGTTTTTTTGTAAAGCTTAATTGGACAAGCTGAAGTTAGGCTGGCCATACACTATACAATTTTCTTGATAATTTTGATTTAGATTTACCAAACACCATATAATAGAAGGTCAAACCTAAACATTTCAATTGTATCCAGTTTTTCAGGCCCTTGCACTACATAGTTGATGGTAAATCTAAAGGGAATTGGGCAGAAATTGGACAGAAAATTGTTTAGTGTATGGTCAGTCTGTTGTTTTTCAACAGAACACACTGTCCTTCAGATTTTGCAGTTAGAGGGTTGAAAATTGTATAGTGTTTGACAGGGCTTGAAAAAGCCGCTCACCCGCTCTCGCCAAATGCGAGGAGAAATTCTTCTGCAGCAAGCGGCGAGCACAGATGAAGCATGGAGCGACTGCACCTGCGCTCCAAGCCTCATTGTGAAGCCGAGTTCCGGTTCACAACTCCCGGTTTCCGGCTTCTGCGGCACCGCCGCTGAGGGGACAGATGCAGGAGAGGTCCGCTCTCCTCCGCTGAGAGGAGACACCCTCTCCACCACCGCGGGGGACTCGGAGGGACTAGGAGTAAGTACTGTATACAACATGTCACATCACTATAAAGGAGTACAGGGGAGCTGGGATATACATTACTGAGTACAGTTTTATATTTTGGACTCTTTATTCTAAAGAAAAATGTAATTTCATAAGCTTTAAAGGGGCGTGGTTGGGGGCGGACCTGGACAAGGTTAGGTGGGGCAACTGGTGGGGAGAAAGTTTTGTGACCGGCTAGTAGGTCTGGACTCAAAATTTTAACCCCTGGTGTATGACCAGCCTTAGATACCAATTGGCTACCATGCACAGCTGCACCAGATTTTGCACTCCTCAGTTTTAGGAAATCAACTCCAATATGCCCTGTTTCAGGCTTCTAAGCTGGCCATTAAGTCTATAAACTGGTTTGGGCATATCATGAAACCGTATGCGTAGGCTATATGGCAAGAGAAGGGAGGCAGGTTACAGGTACTGCCGGCGTTGGCTAATGCATTGTTTGTATAATTTTTTATAACCTGTCTGCTATTCTCTAGGACAAACCTCGCCTAGTGGTTTCTCCTAGTGCCCTTCACATATATTGATAGATGTCTATATTACCTCTATTAACTCTATGACAATGAAGGTAAAGATTATTTGACTGTTCTCATATGGTGCACATAAAATGCAAGTTAGTTTTAGACAGTATGTTTGGGCTAAATATAAAAAAAAATATTAATGTCTGCACTATATGCACTTTGCCCTATGTTTTGTCCCTTTAATCAATACAAATACAGAAAAATACCTGTTTATTTTACCAGAAATCTGTGAGCTCCTAACTTCCTGTTAGAGCTGACAACTCTGCCGCTGCTGAACCAAAATCCAAACCAGTGCTGTCAGCCCTGCCATAAGTTATAGAGGTGGGGAGAGAAGGAAGGGTTCTGTAGGCCAGCATGGGAGAGCTAGGCAAGGCTGACAACACTTGATGTGACTGTAACGCAGACTAGAAATGGGAAGGCCTGAAAAATATGGAAAAAATTGAGGAAAAAAAGTTTTTTTTTTCCGTTTTTTTTTTGTTCCGGAAATTTTTTTTTTAAAAAGGAGTGTGGATATGTTCTTTTACAATGATAAATAATATATCTATGACATAGTATTTAAACTATATAATGTGAAGACATTAATGAAAGATTTCTGAGAATTTATGTAAAGTCTTGAATTCTTGCAAGTTCCCTCATCTGAAGATAAGCAAATCCTGGAATACAATTCAAGTAACACTGTACTTCTCAATGCAGTTCTTAAACAAGAAAAATATAAATGTTGACCATCCCCTCCTCCCTTAAAAAACTCCACTCTCTTGGCCTCAGAGACTCTGCTCTCTCCTGGTTCTCCTGCTATCTATCGCAGCACTCCTTCAGCGTTACCTAGAACTCTGGCTCCTCCTCTCCACTCCCTCTTTCTGTAGGGGTCCCTCAAGGTTCTGTTCTTGGACCCCTACTCTTCTCCATCTACACCTCCTCCCTTGGTCACTTGATAAACTCCCATGGCTTTAAGTACTATCTGTATGCTGATGACACACAAATCTATCTTTCTACTCCTCACCTCACCCCTTCAGTCTCCTCTCGTATTACTAACCTACTAAGTGACATATCGGCATGGATGTCACTCCACTTCCTCAAACTCAATCTTTCCAAAACTGAGCTCATAATATTCCCTCCAGCCTGTGCCCCCGACCCTGACTTCTCCATGAAGATCAATAACACAATCATCAGTCCTACCCCTCATACCAGGATACTAGGTGTAATCCTAGACTCCCATCTGTCCTTTCAGCCCCGAATCCAATCGCTGTCCAAATCTTGTAGACTTCACCTCCGCAACATCTCCAAGATAGGCTCGTTCCTAACCTCAGAAACCACTAAGCAACTTATTCACTCCCTTGTTATATCTTCGCCTTGACTATTGTAACTCCCTCCTCATTGGCCTATCTCATCGAAGGCTATTCCCTCTTCAGTCTATCATGAATGCTGCTGCCAGACTCATCCACCCTACTAACTGTTCTGTATCTGCCACTCCTCTCTGCCAATCCCTCCACTGGCTTCCCATTGCCCAACGGATAAAATTCAAAAAACATTAGCAATAACATATAAAGCCATTTATAAACTCTGCCCCAAATTACATCACCAATCTTGTCTCCAAATATCACCCAAACCATACTCTCTGCTCCTCACACAACCTCCTGCTCTCTAGCTCCCTTGTCTCCTCCTCCCATGCTTGTCTCCAGGACTTCTCCAGAGCTTCCTCCATCCTCTGGAACTCTCTACCCCAATTTATCAGACTCTCGCCTACTCTGCTCACTTTTAGGCGATCTCTGAAAACCTCTCTCTTCAGGGAAGCCTATCCTGCCCTCTGCTAATAATGGAATCTTCTACTCCTCCTACCAGTCCATCCCCCACAGTTACTACCTTTTGTACCACTAGCCCCTCCCTCTTAGAGTGTAAGCTCCAAGGAGCAGGGCCCTCCTAACCCTCTTGCATTGAACTGTATTGTTGCTGTATTGCCTCCTGTTATATTGTAAAGTGTTTAGCAAACTGTTTCGTGCTATATAAATCCTGTATAATAATAATAAATTTCAGCTACTAGGGGGCACTGCAGGAGAAAGGCTCCAAGTTTGCTTTTAAGCTTCATCTTGTACCTCCTACAATTTTGTGATTGTTGGGATACAGTAGATGTTCTCATGTATAGTTGAAATGTTCTTAATATATAGTCTTTGTTATTCCACTTGGAATAAATAATACAATTTTAAAAAGCAAGTTTATTTTATTTACTGAATAAACTGTACTTTTATTTCAGGCATAATACTTTTATATACACTGAATTGCACCTTCCCAGTGTAACAAAAGGACTTTCAATTTTTAAAACGACTCCACACTGAATTGTTTTTCATATCTTCTGAAAATTTCCATTTTTTTCCAGAAAAAACGTTTTTTCTCATGGCTTTAAAAATTTCCAGAAATTTTACACCTCTAGCCCAGACACACATTTTTAGGAGTGAACATATGTGGAACGACTGCACACATTATACTTATTTTCCCTGGAGAAAAGACCACTGAGATATACAAATATATAAATGCTGATTTTAGCATAGGGAGAAAGCTATTCAGCCTCAGGTCCCTTAAGAAGATACATTGCCAGCCAATGAAGCTGGATGAGAAGTGGTTTAACCTTAGACTGCATAGGGGTTCTTTACTGTTAGAGCAGTAATGATGTGGAACTCCCACAATCATGGTGTCAGCAGTAAGTGTTGATAATTAAAAAACAAAACTATTAGATGGGCATCTTAGCGAACATAATGCACAAGGATATGGGAAATGGAGACATACACTCACTGGTCTCTTTATTAGGTACACCTGTTCAATTGTTTGGTAACACAAATTGTTAGTCAGCCAATCACATGGCAGCAACTCAATGCATTTAGACATCTAGACATGGTGAGGACGACTTGCTGAAGTTCAAGCCGAGCATCAGAGAGGGGAATAAAGGGGATTTAAGTGGCTTTGAATGTGGCATGGTTGTTAGTGCCAGACAGGATGGTCTGAGTATTTAAAAAACTGCTGATCTACTGGGATTTTCACACACAACCATCTCTAGGGTTTAGAGAATGGTCAGAAAAAGGAAATATATCCAGTGAGCATCAGCTGTGTAGACGAAAATGCCTTGTTGGTGTCAGAGGTCAGATGAGAATAGGAAGACTGGTTCGAGATGACAGAAAGGCAACAGTAACTCAAATAAACACTCGTTACAACCAAGGTATGCAGAACACCATCTCTGAATGCACAACACATCAAACCTTGAAGCAGATGGGCTACAGCAGCAGAAGACCACACCGGGTGCCATTCCTGCCAGCTAAGAACAGGAAACGTAGACTACAGTTCGCACAGGCTCACCAAAATTCGACAATAGAAGATTGGAAAAACGTTGCCTGGTCTGCCGAGTCTTGATTTCAGCTGCAACATTCAGATGGTAGGGTCAGAATTTGGTGTAAACAACATGAGAGCATGAATCCATCCTGCTTTGCATCAATGGTTCAGGCTGGTGGTGGTGGTATAATGGTGTTGGGGATATTTTTTTGGCTCACTTTGGGCCCCTTAGTACCAACTGAGCATCATTTAAACACCACGGCCTAGCTGAGTATTGTTTCTAATCATGTTCATCCCTTTATGACTACAGTGTACCCATCATCTGATGGCTACTTCCAGCAACATAATGCACCATGTCACAAAGCTCAAATCATCTCAAACTGGTTTCTTAAATATGACAATGAGTTCACTGTACTCCAATGGCCTCCAGAGTCACCAGATCTCAATCCAATAGAGCATCTTTGGAATGTGATGGAACGGGAGATTCGTATCTTGGATGTGCAGCCAACAAATCTGCAGCAACTGCGTGATGCTATTATGTCACTATGGACCAAAATCTCTGAGGAATGTTTCCAACACCTTGTTGATTCTATGCCACGAAGAATTAAGGCAGTTCTTTTACAAAGAATTTTATTATAGATTGAGCAATGATAAACAAACTTTCGGAACATAGATTCATTGACCAATACATAGGAAATTGTACTGTATGATTGAGAAATAATGTAAAGCGTACATTGGAATAAAAAAAAACCCCCAAAACGTCAGCTTTAACTTATTACAGAAATGCCCGGTAGGAAGGATACGATTAACAATCTTTGATGGTCAATGATAGTGTAGATTCTGAGAGAAAAAATTGCTACATCGAGAAATATTAGACAAGGAGTATAAAAAAGACACAGACCAAGAGGAGAGATAAGAGGAGATTAAAAAAAAAAAAAAGGAGGGGGGGGGGGGGGAGTAGGGCTCCGAGGAGATCACAGCAGAATCCAACCTCATATCGACAGAAGGGACTGGTCGAATCTCGATGGTTGGGCTATATCCAGCCAGGGACATCATATCTGCAGAAATTTTGTATGGGTATCCAATAATATGGCCGTCAGTTTTTCATTAACCATGATGAAGTTCATCCGATTTTTGACAGCCTCAAAGCTGAGAAGGGGAGTCTTTCAAGCCCTCGCAATTGTCAATTTAGTAGCCATAAATAAGTATGATGCCAGCTGCCATTCAGAACGGAGAAGGCCCTCCAGTGGTTTAAATAGAAGCGCTTTGTACGGGTTACGCCTAATGTCTGTGTGAAACATAGTGCGGAGGAGGGCATACACCCTAATCCATAATCTGCATACTTTAGGACAAGTCCACCAGATATGAGCCATGGTACCCAATTGTTGGCATCCCCGAAAGCAAACCGGGGAATATGTAGGGATGAAACTAGCTAAACGAGCAGGCGTATAATACCATCGATAAAGAATTTTGTAGGCATTCTCAAGAATAATGACATTCCTAGAACATTTAGACAATGCTTGGGTCATGGTCCGCCAATCCTGTTGGTCTAAAGTCCCCCCTAATTCAGACTGCCAGCGCTGATGATAGGAGCGAACCGGAGGGGTTCTATAAGAAATAATGGAGGAGTAAATCAGGGAAATCAAACCCGGAGCATGGGGTCTGTGTCTGCACTGGCTGTCAAAGGGGGACAGATGATAAAGTCCCGAATGCGTGCGTATTAGTGTATTAACAAAGTGACGAAGTTGAAGATAACCAAAGTGTTCCCGCAGAGGAATATTATAAGAAGAGCGCAGAGTTTCAAAGGAAAGTATTCGAATGGGAGATAGAAGTGAATGTACATCGTAAAAACCATGCGTCTGCCACCAGGCAAACTGCCTGGGGTTGTCCCGGCCTGGAGGGAATAACGGGTTATGCAATAGACGTAACAGCGGCAGGTGAGCAGAAATAAGGCCGGCGGAATATTTGATAGAATCCCAGAGATGGAGCGAAAGCGTCAGCGTCGGGCTAAGGGTAGATGGACGTTTAGAAGTAGGAAGCCATGGCAAGGAGGAGAGCGGTATCGGGTGGGAGTCCATCATATCCATGACAGCCCACAAGGGAAAGTGATGAGAAGCATGGATATGAGCCAAAGGGGCAATATTAGCCGCCAGATAGTAAGACTGGAGATTTGGGACAGATAACCCACCTTCACTCCTTCGCGCGAACAAAATATGTTTACTAATTCTGGGCCGGGAAGAACTCCAAATAAAGGACAAAAGTTTTCGCTGATGAATACGCAATATATGCGAAGGTACAGGAACTGGTAATACCCGAAATAAGTACAGTAGTTTAGGAAGATAGGTCATACGGATCACATTAATTCTGCCGAAACCATGAAAGCGGGAAATGAGACCAGGAGGTCAAGAGTTCGGTCAGCTCCTGAAAAACAGTGGGAAAATTAGCCTGGTACAGTCCGTCATATGTCGGGGTGAGCTTAATTCCTAAATATGGTAAGGCCGAATGCCATTGAAAAGGAAACGTTTGCTTCAAAGTCGTCAAAAGTGATGGTGGGAGGGTAATCGACATAGCTTTCGATTTGGCGGGGTTAACGTGAAGACCCGAAAGAATTGCAAAGGAATCGAGAACCGCGAGTAAATTAGGCAGAGTAACCCCCGGATTCGAAATTGACAATAGTATATCGTCTGCAAACAGAGACAATTTATGTTGGGAGCCTGCCACCTCAATCCCCTTAATATCATGATTCATACGAATGGCTTCCGCCAATGGTTCTAAGGCTAGAATAAAGAATTAAGGCATTTCTGAAGGCAAAAGGGGGTCCAACCCGGTACTAGCAAGGGGTACCTAATAAAGTAGCTGGTGAGTGTATATACATATGGTCACCCACACCAGTTGAACTTGATGGACTGGTGTCTTTATTCAGCCCTACCAACTATGTAACTTTGTGAACATAAGCTGCTGCTAATTCAAGAAGTCAACTGACTGCCATCGTTTTGTACTTGCAAATCAAATTACATTGTGGAATTTCTATACAATCACAGGTTAGCTCATCCAGTTCAGCTATTTTCATAAAAATCCCATTTCTATATGACTTCTGATATAGAAAGCCTGTTATTTTTCCCAAACCGATGACACAAAAAAATATACATAATAAAATAAGACACTTACCAGAAAGTCTCTTATAAGGCTTATTACTGTTTTTGGTACCATTTTGATGCTTTTTATCTAGAGTATTGAGTCCTTTCCCATTCAGTATCTTTTCAGGTGACGGTGGCACAGGTTTTGGTACCACAGACTGTTTTGTTAGTGAGGACGTTGAAGACGTTGCTGTGGTGGTTGAATTCATTTTAACATTGGCACCATCTGTTTTCACAAGATTTGGGATTTTCTCGAGGCTCACAACAGGAACAGGGCCACTGGAAAACAGAATTGTTATGTTACTTAGAGGTGATCACAAAGCATCAAAATAATGCCCCAACCTATAAGAAAAGGCACCCGCAAATGCACTTTGTGGAAAGAGGTGAACATAACTGATATCAGTCAAACATGACGGTTTCTTGCTGGAAATAATGTATAATTCTTTATCATAACCCCACAGGTTTCTATGGTTCAGAGAAATCATCAGGATAACAAAACTTGTGGTCATACAGGAACTCAAGTGAAAAGTCAGTTGGGCTTCATAGCAGTTGTAGCATACACAACATACAGGTGTTGGCAAAAACGCACTCTGTAAAACCACAGCTTGAGAAAAAAAAAAGAATGATAGATAATATTAATGGGTAAGAAAGGCTTAAAGAAATCGACAAATGTATTATAAGAGCAATAGGCGTGTATTAAATAGATTTACTTAATAAGACTCACAATACTTAAAGTGTAACTAAAGACAACTTTTTTTTCAAGTTTTGGATAGAGTGGTAAGCAATAACACCTGACACGTTTTTATTGACGTCTGTGCTTTTGTTAGGGGTGATTCACCTTCTCTAGGTGTCCTGTTCACTGTTGTCACGAAAAGTGAAAGAGAAGGAAAATCCTAAATTTTGAGTAGTTACCAGAACAGGAATAGAGGGAAAATCTTCCAATGTGGACACTAGTATTGGTGATCTCCCTGGTGACACCCCAGGATTCCCTAACTTTTGAGGGATTTCCTCTCACTTCCTATTTTGGCTATGGGACAGGAAGTGAAGGGAAACCTCCCGAATGGGACCAGAGGTGGGGAACTTGACAGGGTATGTTATAACCCTCCCTTGCATTTTTTTTTATTTTTTACACACATTAAAATCATTATTTACTAGAAAATTGTAGCAGATATAAGAAGCGCCGCAGAAAATGCAAAATAAATCAAATAATAAGCACACTTGCTAACCAAAAAAGTAAAATGGGTACAAATAAAAAGTGCGCTAATTATTCACAAAACATGCAAGGATAAATAATAAAAATAAATGAATTCATAAATATAAACATAAGTCCAGCCACCATAACAGTGATAGTCCAATATCAACTTAATGTCAATCTTGAAAACAAACACCCATGTGCAAATCCGACACCAGATGAAATGAATACACTCACCAGAGCTATATGCTGATTATATTATAAACCAGCATGATAGCATTTTGCTCTGGGAGCGATGATCTGCAGGATATCCCAGTAGAGGAACAGCAACCAATAGTGATCCAATCAGCACATATGGAACAGCTAGGCAGCACATATGGAACAGCTAAGCAGCAAATGATCTTCCAATAACATGGGCAAAGCTCGAGGAATAAGAAGAGATATGATGGTGCAGTACGTTTAAAACCAGTAATATTTTATTAATAAAGTATTGCACTCACAAAGAAGGTGTCTAGCCGACACCAGCAATGACAGCCTCTAAAATGCCACATCCACAAGGGAAAAAACCAAGGGACGAACCTCCTGTACTGCGATCAACACAGCCGACAGCTGGGAGGGAACGTTCCAACGTCACGTCCACTAGGAAAATTACTTAGCACCCCCAAGCTTTAGATATTTTTCAAAGCACAGGCCATGGAGAATAAGATGGTCACTGTTGAAATTTTTTTAATGTCACATGATATTTGTGCAGTTGTTTATCAAAAACAAATATTCAAGAAAAAATACACTAAAATGAATGTTAGTCCACACAAACACAATACGATACCCAATTTTTCGGTAAAATATAAAAGATTATCGTGTTGAGTAAATAGACACCAAATATGTTAACACTCAAAACTTCATGTGAAGTGGTGAACTACAGTATGTACATTTTGATGTTATGGTAGGGGGTTAGGTGATTTAAAATTTTTTGAATTTTTTTTTTTTACTTTTCAAAAAATAATTAACTTTACAAAAGTAGAATAATTATTTAACCTTTCACAGGCCTTCTATGTGATAGCTTTGGGCAGTGACAGGTACTCTTTATGGAGACATCAAGGGCAACACATTGAAGACTCTGCAAGCTTTAGCTGTGATGTTACAATGCACGCCCAAAACACTGCACACTCTTAATATGCAAATCTCAGTGCAACAGCTGCACAAATTATCATACACTAATCACATAAATTCATAAAAAGCAGCGCTTACAAAACTATTCCAAACAGTGATAATCATAATATAATGTAAATGTCCTAAATAATCCCCACATCACTTGTGAGTAAAACTGTGTTAATCCTCTTCCTAATATCCAAAGAGATGATCACCATGTTCGCCTCCAACCATCAAACCTGCACTCACCAACAGTTGTGACCTCCAAATTATAGGCAGGTCAGTATGTGCGTTTACCATCTATCCATATATATATTAGGGGGGGGGGGGGGGGGGATCCGCTTTAACTATATCTGAGCAGCAGAAACTCCATTTTTTTTTTTTTTTCGATTTCACGTTTTTTTTTTTCCAAAATGCTGTTTAATTCATTTATTAATATTCAAAGCAAACTTGCCCATCCATCCATGTCTCAATGCTTTATTTTGTTGAGAAATCACTTTGAAAAACAACCCCCCCTAGAATTTATAGCCGCAGCTGTCTTGCGTAAGGACAGATGATTTATGTAGCATTTACTTCCTGGAATCCATCTACCCTTAGCTCAGGCATGAAAACATGAGGGTATGCTTAGCGGAGAAAGCTCATCTTCTCCTCCTCTAGATGAAAGACAAAAAATGGCCATGAAGGCTGATAGAATGTATGACATCCTTTTGCCCTAGGCCAGACACCAGGAAGCAACTGAAGACATGTAAAAGAAAAGAAAAAGTTTAAAACAAGCAAGAAAAAAAAAAAAAAAACCTTCCAATCTGTTTATGGTACTGATGCTAGCAGCATACAGTGGACATAAAAAGTCTACACACCCCTGTTAAAATGTCAGGTTTCTGTGATGTAAAAAAATGAGACAAAGATAAATAATTTCAGAACTTTTTCCACCTTTAATGTAACCTATAAACTGTACAACTCAGTTGAACAACAAACTGAAATCTTTTATGGGGGAGAATAAACATAAAAAACTAAAAATAATGTGGTTGCATAAGTGTGCACACCCTCTTATAACTGTGGATGTAGCCGTGTTCAGAATTAAGCAATCACATTAAAAAATTCATGTTAAATGGGAATCAGTACACACCTGTCATCATTTAAACTGCCTCTGATTAACCCCAAATAAAGTTCAGCTGTTCTCGTAGGTCTTTCCTGACATTTTCTTAGTCCTACAGCAAAAGCCATGGTCCGCAGAGATCTTCCAAAGCATCAGAGTGATCTCGTTGTTAAAAGGTGTCAGTCAGGAGAAGGGTGCAAAAGAATTTCAAGGCATCAGATATACCATGGAACACAGTGAAGACAGTCATCATCAAGTGGAGAAAATATGGCGCAACAGTGACATTACCAAGAACTGGACGTTCCTCTAAAACAGATGAAAAGACGAGAAGAAAACTGGTCTGGGAGGCTGCCAAGAGGCCGACAGCAACATTTATGGAGCTGCAGGTATATCTGGCAAGTACTAGCTGTGTGGCAATAATCTCCTGTATTCTTCATATGTCTGGGCTGTGGAGTAGAGTGGCAAGACGGAAGCCTTTTCTTATGAAGAAAAACATCCAAGCCCAGCTAAATTTTGCAAAAATACAATTGAAGTCTCCCAAAAGCATGTGGGAAAATGTGTTCTGGTCTGATGAAACCAAAGTTGAACTTTTTGGCCATAATTCCAAAAGATATGTTTGGTGCAAAAACAACACTGCACATCACCAAAAGAACACCATATCCACAGTGAAGCATGGTGGTGGCAGCAGCTTCACGCTTTGGGGCTGTTTTTCTTAAGCTGGAACTGGGGCCTTAGGTAAGGTAGAGGGAATTATGAACAGTTCCAAATACCAGTCAATATTGGCACAAAACCTTCAGGCATGTGCTAGAAAGCTGAACATGAAGAGGAACTTCATCTGTCAGCATGACAACGACCCAAAGCATACATCCAAATCAACAAAGGAATGGCTTCACCAGAAGAAGATTAAAGTTTTGAAACGGCCCAGCCAGAGCCCAGACCTGAATCCGATGGAAAATCTGTGGGGTGATCTGAAGAGGGCAGTGCATAGCAGATGCCCTCACAATCTGACAGGTTTGGAGTATTTTTGCAAGGAAGAGTGGCCAAATATTGCCAAGTCAAGATGTGCCATGCTGATAAAACTAATACCCAAAGACGGAGTGCTGGAATAAAATTAAAAAGTGCTTCAACAAAGTATTAGTTTAAGGGTGTGCACACTTATGCAACCATATTATTTTAGTTTTTTATTTTTACTTCCCTTTACCTAAAAGATTACAGTTTGTTGTTCAACTGAGTTGTATAGTTTATAGGTTACAATAACGGTGGAAAACGTTCTGAAATTATTTATCTTTGTTTCATTTTTTTACATTACAGAAACCTGACGTTTTAACAGGGGTGTGTAGGTTTTTTTTATAGCCACTGTAAGTATTAAAAATAGTTAATGTTGATTGAAGATTTTAGTTCCATTTTAATTTGTTTATCAAGCCTCATCTAAATCTGGTGTATCTAACACTACCCTACCCCAGATTGACAAAACTGCTGTCCATCTGTGTCTCCATTGATTTTCCTTCCAGAGTAGAGACACACTAAAGCTGGCCATACACGTGTAGATTTTTGGACGAAAAAATTTGTACGAAAATTCTTTGAACATTCGGGTGAATGGACGAATGTCGTCCGAAAATTGTCTTTTGCTTTTAACATTCGAATTTAAAATGAATGTAATTTCT